TCACTCAACCTCCCTGACTACCGATCTCACCTTCATCGTCAAATCCATTAATACCTCTCAAGTCTTACAATCAACACCTTCGTCCCGTCAACCATTACTTCCTGGGGCCCTTTCCCTCAACGTCCTCTACAACTCCCTACTCTTTTCATCCACTAGGATACACACCCTCCTCGAACAACTCTCCGCCATCATCGTCCAGGCTTCTCTTCAACCCGACTCTTGCATCAGCACCATCCCACTTCTAGGGCCTCTCCAGCAACCCTATCTACCCGACCCCTGTGATGATTTACATTGGACAGAATGGCCTGGTCCAATCACCCAGATCTTTGCTCGAAACTCGGAGCAGAATCCTGAAAAGCTGTGTGTCATCGAGCACTACGATGGAACAATTCCCCCGACGTCTAACCTCCAGCGCACCTTCACCTACTCTCAAATTCATCATGCCTCGAACGTGCTTGCTCACCATTTACTTCAACATGGCATTCTACCCGAGGAAGTCGTTACCGTCTATTCAACCAGAGGCGTCGATTTGGTGATTGCCATCATGGGAATCCTCAAAGCTGGTGCTACCTTTAGCGTCATCGATCCGGCCTATCCTACTCAGAGACAAAAGATTTATCTTGAAGTCTCCAAACCCCGGGGCTTAATTATCCTCGAGAGAGCTGGAAAATTGTCCACTGAGGTCGAGGCGTTCATCAAATCAGACTTGGATATTAAGGTCACCGTTCCAGCACTTGCTTTACAAAACACTGGTAATCTCAAAGGTGGCCTCATCGGAGCCAAAACCGGAGTGGATGTCTTGGACGATACCCAGCATTTAGCTTCCCAATTGCCCTCGGTGAAAATTGGACCTGATTCGATTGGTACTCTTTCATTCACCTCTGGTTCGACTGGAATTCCCAAAGGTGTTCAAGGTCGTCACTTCAGTCTCACTCACTTTTTCCCCTGGATGGCTCAGCAATTCAACCTGGACAACACCAGCAAGTTTACCATGTTAAGTGGTATCGCTCATGACCCCATTCAAAGAGACATCTTCACCCCCCTCTTCCTCGGTGCCGAATTGCATATCCCCACAGCAGAAGATATTGGAACCCCCGGTCGATTGGCAGAATGGATGGACGATCAACAAGTTACGATCACACATCTCACACCTGCGATGGGTCAATTACTCTCAGCCCAAGCATCCAGACAGATCCCTTCCCTCAAGAATGCCTTTTTTGTTGGCGATGTCCTCACCAAGCGAGATTGCTCCAGGCTTCAAAGCATAGCCCCCAACGTCGATATCATCAACATGTTTGGCACAACAGAGACCCAACGTGCGGTTTCTTATCATCTGATTCCCTCGATCTCTAAAGATCCAATTTATTTAGAAACGAAGAAAGATATCATTCCTGCCGGAAGGGGCATGAAAGACGTCCAACTGCTGGTCGTCAATCGTGTCGCGAAAGGTTTGCAGTGCGGTGTCGGGGAGCTGGGTGAAATCTACGTCCGATCGAGTGGGTTGGCCGAAGGATACCTTGGGCCGCCGGAAATGTCAGCTGAGAAGTTCATGCCCAACTGGTTCCAGTCCATACCGTCGGATCAACGAGCAGCGGATATCGATTTGGGCGGTAAATGGCTTGGACTGAGAGATCGCCTCTACAAAACTGGGGATCTCGGTCGCTATCTGCCAGATGGGACGGTCGAGTGTGTTGGTCGATCGGATGATCAGATCAAGATTCGTGGCTTTCGAATCGAACTTGGTGAAATCGACACTCATCTTTCTCAGCATCCTTCGATCAGAGAAAACGTTACCTTAGTTCGACGGGACAAGGATGAAGAAAAAATCCTCATCACGTACTTTGTACCCATCCAGTCAAAGTCTGGATCATCCGACCTTGCCCTCACTAGTGCTAGCGAATTAGAAGACGAGGGAGAACTTGTGAGCGAGGTAGAGAAAGGGATCAGAAAATATCGCAAGCTGATCAGAAACATCCGAGAATACTTAAAAAATAAGCTACCTGCTTACAGCATTCCCACCCGTAAGTATTCATCATATGTTGTTTGTCTCTGATATCTCCAGTGAGCTGATAATCTTCCGTGCTTTGCAGTATTTGTACCCTTGGTACGAATGCCATTAAACCCAAACGGAAAAATCGATAAGCCAGCCCTCCCCTTCCCAGATACCGCCCTCCAACCATCATCCAAAGCCAAGAAGTCCTCAACTCCTCATCAGTTTTCTTCGACTGAGACCGCAATCGAAACAATTTGGAAAAACTTACTGCCAAATAATATTTACAGCAAGTCGACGATCCCCAAGAATGAAAGTTTCTTCGATCTTGGCGGTCATTCCATTCTGGCCACTCGCTTAGTCTTCGAAATCCGAAAAACTCTGGCCGTCAACATCCCATTAGGGTTGGTGTTCGAATACCCTACCATCGGCTCCTTGGCTCAGCAGGTCGATATGTGCAGGAATAATGACTTCGGTTTAGCCAGAGAGGATGAAGAACAGCCTCATGATGGTACCCATTTGAGCCCATCAGCCCATCCCACTGGTTCATCTTCAACGCCTCCAGGTCAACCTCAAAGCGCATTTGATTATGCGGCCGATGCCAAGGCGTTGATGAAGACATTGAAAGCCAGCTACTCGCAGCCGATCAAGTCAAGCGAAAAGAAAACGGTCCTTCTTACCGGCGCTACCGGCTTCTTGGGCGTGTTTATTCTCCGGGAACTTTTAAATCATTCCGATCAAATTGGCACAGTCATCTGCCATGTGCGAGCCAAAACCAGGGAGGCAGGGCTCATTCGCCTTCGCGAGAGCTGTCAGAGTAGGGGGGCTTGGAACGAGGAGTGGTTATCGGAGAACCTGGTTGAGGTAGTCCTGGGTGACCTCGAATCACGACAGCTAGGTGTTGGTGACCGGACGTGGACTGATCTGAGTAACCGAGTTGATATCGTTGTCCACAACGGCGCTTTGGTACACTGGGTTTATCCATACTCCAAGTTGCGAACCGCCAACGTCATGGCTACTCTAACTCTCATGGAACTAGTGGCCGTCGGGAAGCCGAAAGCGCTGACATTTGTTTCAACGACCGCCGTCCTGGAAAAAGATCATTACGTCAGTCTGTCGGATGCTCTCATCCAGCAGGGTGAGAAAGGAATTTCGGAGTCGGATGATTTGGAGGCGTCAGCAAGTGGACTCACCACCGGTTATGGCCAGACCAAATGGGTTTCAGAGCGACTAGTTACAGAAGCTGGTCGACGAGGTATGCAAGGCGCAATCATTCGACCAGCTTACGTGCTTGGGGATACCCAAACTGGTATCAGCAACACCGATGATTTCTTATGGAGATTAGTCAAAGGATGTATTCAAATCGGCTCAATACCTGATATCCACAATACTATTAACATGCTGCCAGTCAATCACGTAGCAACTTGCACGGTTCTAGCCTCGCTTGAAGACCAAGAACCTTTGAAAGTTTACCATCTCACCGCTCGACCCTTACCCAGATTTAGCTCGTTCCTTGCTACCTTGGGACATTACGGGTATGAAGTCAGTAAGGAAGATTACCTGACCTGGAGGGTCAGACTGGAACAATCTATCATGAAGAACGACCCACAAGACAACGCATTGTTTCCTCTACTACACTTCGTCCTATCCGATCTACCCTCGAGTACCAAATCGGCGGAGTTGGATGACTTAAATACCACCCAGCTCTTGAAGAAAAACAAACTGATTGATCATCGCTCGATCGAAACTACCGACCTGGCCGTTTATCTTGCTTGGCTAAACCAAGTCGGCTTCTTGCCTCCACCTCCAAACTCTGCAAACCCACTCCCTAGTTTATCTCTTGATCATCACATGAAGAAACTCATCAGTCGAACTGGTCGTTGAAAGTCTTTCTCCAATAATTCTTTTTTTGAAGCATTCTTCTTTTCTTCTCTTTCTCTCGCTTAGATATTGTAGTCGATCTGATCACCTGTTTTCCTTTCTTTTTTTTTCTTAATTTCTGCTTGTTTCATGTTTTTTTTTCTTGATTTCTGTTTTTTGTCTTTTTTTCTTTTCTTTTCTTTTCTTTTCTTTTGATTTAATTTCTCACTTTCAGTCCTAGAAAAAAAAAATCCCCTCTCATAGCTTTTCTCTTGCAATCATAATTTTTAATCCATATGAATAGAAACAAATTGAACACATTCTTCTTAGCCATGAGCAAGTGTCACGTGAAGCTACCTTTTGACCTATCTTGACAACTTTTGAAAACCTGTGTCAATATTACGTAATCTGACCATGTGAATCTAACTTTTAGGGCTGTAAGGAGGATGCCATGTTGTCTAAATTGGTTGATTCAAAAGGGGAACACACAGATCAAGACAATCAAGATGGTGGATGACTTCCTGTCAATATCTGCGGGTCTCCCAGAGCCGGTTCAGAGCCTCAAAATTCAAATTTCTCTGTGAGAATCAAGAATCCTCGGTTCTAGATTGACTTCTGCAAGGGTCCCAGATCCCACAGGAAGTCCTCCAGTTTTCACCTGCCAATAAGGTTTAGGATCCCCTTATAAATTAAGCTATTGAGGCAATGGGAAGCTCTCCAATCCAAGGAATCTTCTTTCTTGTAGAAAATCTAGACATGAACATTGTGCTGGATCCAACATTTTCATGTTTTAATCTGACCTGCAGTGGTGGTGCTGGTCTGTCTGAGTCTGATTCGAAGACCGTTTTGTAAGCATGTGAAATAGAAAGATAGATAGAATGACAAAAGGTATCAATCAAGTTGAATTCATATAATCAAAGAATGTAGTTTTTTTAGCATTTCAAATCATTAGGGGGTATCAAATATAGGAAATCCACCATCAGAAACCAGTCACTTTTCCAAAAACTTTTTTTTGCATAAATGGGCCCCAAAAGAGTTTAAATGGATAACCAACATGTTTAAAAAAATTGAATTTTTTCAAACCAGTCAATTAAATAATGGTGGATTTGGTTATATTTGATACCCCCTATTGTGTTTGGACTAGAGATGGTCAAAGGGTATCCGTTGCGGATACCCGCTATCCCCTGGTGGATACCCACCAGAGCCAGGGGATACGGATTTGGGTTTGGATGTGCCCTTTTCCCAGAAATTTGGGCGGGTATCCGGATATCCCCAGGGATACCTGAGACCAATGGCCGGCTGGAAGGGTTTCCTTCCAGCCGGCAAGGTCCTTCCAGTCGGCAAGGCTTGTACCTTGTTGACTGGAAGGGAAACCTTCCAGCCGGCGAGGTACGTGACGAGGTAAGCCGGCAAGGTACATGTACAGTCTCCTCCCAGATGTTTAAAGCCATCTGTTTTGAGCTCCACAGAGGGAACCCAAAAACTTCAAGTCACAAAAGTTTGTGGAATGGTGGAAAATGGGTTTCAAAGAATGAATATGAAAAAATAATAATAATAAATAAGATTTTAAAATTTGTGAAAAAGATAAAAGAAAATCAACTTTTTTTGAAAACTTTAATTTTTTGTTTGAGTGAAAAGTGAACACACAGAGGGCAAGTTTGGAACATGAAAAGAATGATTATAAATGAAGAAAATTGATCCAAAAAAAGTTTCAGCATGGTGGGTGGACACCCTACAGTCAAAATC